GTCACTGGTCTATGTCTGGACACCAACAAAAAGTACAAAAATTCTAAAAATATGGCACTAAGCAGAGAACAAAAAGGACACTGGTTTGCAGTATGAGAGCTGAACAAGAAGGCAGACCTTTGCCTTGTTCCACCACAGTTAGGAACGTGCATGTCGACTGACTCAAATTTGCTGCTGCTCTACACATGTCCACAAATGATAGCAAAAGCTGCCACAAGTATTGATTTTGGGGTCACACATAAATTTTAGCAAATAGGTGAATTTGCAGATACAGAATCCACAAATAACAAGAATCACCTGTATACCTACTCCTCATTATCAACTATCTCGTTATCCAACATTTCCCATTTAGGATAATAGTAAAAAATATACTATCCAACTATTTTGTGCATTAACAACGTACGTCTGGCAGTGGGAGGCAAGAGTAACACTGGCTGTAATGGTTAAGATTATGTGTCAACTTGGCTGGGCCAAGATTCTCAGTGATTTGCCAGTTATGTAATGATGTAATCAGGCAGTTGTGTAATGATGTAGTCATCCTCCATTTTGTGATCCATTGTGGTCATCCTCCATTTTCACATAACACCAATTTTCACATAACAACCTGGTCTTTGGAACCTAACCACGTGGATAAATGAGGAGTGGGTGTATTTACGAGTATCTGCATACGCCAAATCTGAAAGCCCATTAGATACAGGTGCGTAAAATGCACAGCTGCCTGAGCCTGGCTCACCTGGACTTGCCCTCAGGCTATTACACCACCAGCTTTGGAAACTAAGTCACAATGATAAAGCTCCTTCTGAGTGCAATTGGGCTGTTTGTTTGTTTGGGGGAGCATGTTGCTGTTGTCATCTTGGGAATGTTTGTTTGCTTTTTTCGTCTTATTTTGCTAAACATAAGAATTTCACCCAATTTTGGCCCATTGTGTTTATAATTAAAATAATTCAGTGGCCATACCTTTTTTCAAAACTCCCTTATCTGCTTTTGCCCAGGGTTTCTTGTACTTCCCTTCCTTACAGTCTCATCTCCAAGTATATTCTTTTGTAACAAAACCAACAACCATTTTAGTAACCAAAAAATGCTGAACTGGGGATGTGACTCCCTTTAAACAGTTATCAGGGAAAAGGGAAGACAACAATTTAAGTAAGAGCCTGGAACTTTCCCTTAGGTCAGACTATGTATTGCTTTAATGTCACAAAGCCACTTAACCTGCTCCCCCTCATTTTCTCAGCCGGCTTTGCAAAGATGCTGTGGTGGTTGTTGGAAAGAAGGTAATGGAGCACATTTAGATCCCTGTGAGTTCAGTCAATATGATGTGGGAACCCTCTAGATTTGCAGATGGTGCTTGACAGCAGTCTAAACCCCCCCACCCAACAAACCCCAGCCCTGCTCTGCAAGTCCATTGGGATCGTGGAGAAAGGCAGAGCCTTCCCTAGGATGAGGAGCTGGGGTCAGCACAGCCACAAGAAGAGCGATGGTGGCACCCCATGGCGCCCCCACCCCAGGCCATGGATTTCTCAACAGGTCCAGGGAGAGATGTTGACCAGGCCAGTGGGCCTCTGTAATGGCCATGGTGTTCTTTCACCATTTCTCCATCACCCTATCTTTTGAAATAGTCTATCTATCAAAACAAACGAATTTTTGCTAAAGACCTATATATGCACATACCGGAGCTTCTAACCAATGAGAGGGATATGCGAGCACACCGCTTATCATTCCAGCTAAGACACACTCCGTAAGCTCATCTTGAGAAAATTGCTTTTTCAACCTCCAGAAATAAGGAGAGGATCCCCGCAGCTTCCCTGGGTGCCCAGGCTGAGAATGTGGGTTCAGACCAACCATGTAGCTCCTGCCTGCCTTAGGCTCCTGACCTGCCTGTGGCCTCAGTGGGACAATAAGTGAGCTGAGTTGACATTTGGGGCTGATTCTTTTGGGCACAGGCTAGTATCCTTAAGGCAGAAGACCTCAAAGTCACCAGGGCCTGTGTTCAAATCCAGATGGCACTGCCTGCAGGGGCCACTGGGCTACCAAACCTTTTAACTCTTCTAGGTCCCCATTTCTTCATTGGTAAATATGGGATTTACAATCCCTACCTTTCAAGGGTGTAGAATGGTTAAGTTAGAAGATGCAGGTAACATGTTTGGCACACAGGAAGCCCTTAACAAACTGTAGTCATGAGGGTTCTAGCTCTTGCTATAGTGGTCATCCATTTTGCTGTGACCTGCCAGGTCTGGGGCTCTGTTGACGAACGTCCTGACATACAAACCCCCCTGTATGCAAACTTGAAACCACCTTTCTGAGACACTCCAGAGCACCCCTCCCTAGCATCTGGACCTGGGCACATCCACTGTTCAAAGTTAAATGATGCTAAACAATGCCATCAATTGAGGCCATTCTTCCACCAGAGCAGGTAGGAGAAGGGGTCAGGGTGCTGCACAGACCCCAGGCATTTCTTCTCTCATGTGATAATCAGAGGAGAAAGTCAGGGCTGAGCATGCTTTGGAGACCTGCAGTTCTGCCAGGCCTGGGGCCACAAACAGCTTCAGAGGCCCATAGCATTGACTGAGTGCTACTGGGTACCAGACCCTGCTCTAGGTCCTGAGGACACTGTGAGGAGCATGTTGGACTCTGCCCTTGTTCTCACAGAGCTCACACCTAGAGCGGGTAGGTGGATCTTCAACCAACCAACCAGTCAACTAACCAACCAACGCTAGATCATGGAAGTGCTAAGAATTTTAAAAAGGAAGAGTATGGGGACAGAGTGGCTGGAAGGCAGGGAAGGCCCCACCAATGAGGTGACATCCGAACGAAGAGAGCTGGCAGGTCTCACATCCACCTGGGAGAAGACTGTCAAAAGCAGAGGGAGCAACAAGGGCTCAACTGGATGTCAACATCCCCAGACTAAAGTAAAGTGTGCACCTCTGCTAGATCACACAGCATCAGAGCTAGAAGGGGCTTTGGCCATCAGCTAGCTCTTCACCATTGACGCCACCATCATCATCATTGTCATCATCGATACACAGCAGCAACAATAAAAATGACACCCTACAGCAACTAATGCTTACAGAGTGTGCTATATAAATAAGGTAAAGATAGCCTTGGTGTATGTGCCCCAGGTTGTTTATTTCTTCATAGCAAGCTGGGACCCTGTCTTAGGCTGGGTTCTCTAGAGAAGCAAAACCAGTGAAGCATATAAATATATATAGAGAGAGATTTATATCAAGGAAATGGCTCACACGGTTGTAGAGGCTGTAACATCCCAAGTCCATGAGTCAGGAGACAGGCTTCTCCTGAATCACATAGCCGCAGAGGCCGGCAAACCCAAGATCGGCAGCCAAGACCACAGGTAACCTGCTAGCTCAAGTCCCGAGAACCGGAGGTTAGACAAACAGGAGCCAGCTGCAGGATCCAGAATGAGCAAGAGCCCCCGAGCACCGCCTGAGGGTCCACCCACACTTGATACAGGCTGCATGCCCAAGGAAAATCCCCTTTAACTGATTGGCTACTCACAGCAGATCCCATCATGGGGATGATTTCTTATCAAATCTCAACAGGGAAGTGATCACATTACATGACTGCCAAAACACTGAGAATCATGGCCCAGCCACGTTGACAGTCAATCTTAACCATCACAGACCTGTTAGCAAAAAAGCCCACAAGTACCAAACTCAAATTTTCACACATCCAACTGTTTTAAAAATAGCCCAAATGTGCAGAATTTTAGCCATTTAGAGCCTCACATAACCCCAAGAAACTGCACCCAACATCTGCTAACCTTAGTTAAGATAATCCCTGTAGTTATAAGGACCCCAAGCTGCTACTGCCCTTCAAAGATCTCTGACCCACAGACTCCACCTTGCGGCTGTGGGACATCACCTACACATGTAAGTTCCCCCTCTGATTCTCCCTTCTTCCTTGGGTGTTCTCTTGCCCTCCTGCCAACCCTCCCACACTTGCTTTGAAGGGTCTCTGCTGTGCAGCACCTGTCAAAGTGCCAGCCTCAGTACATACGTTGCCATCTCACGGTTATATCTCTTTCCTTGATCAGCTCCCAAATCTCTCAAACTCCCTGCGGAGTGCTGATGATGTCTCCAGTACTGTACTCAATGCTTACTGTGCATATCTCACTCCATCCTCAAAACAGCTCTATGCCATGGACACTGCCACTGGCTCCGTTTTACAGATGAGCCAGGGAGGTGTGGAGAGGCAGAGGTACGCATGGGGACATCTCCAAGGAGAGAAATAACTTGCCTGCCATGGGTCTGGGACACTCATCTCCAGCATGGCTGGAAAGAACAGTCCACTCCCGGGGCCAGGCACTGTCCATAGCAAGATGGCTGGACATCCCCTTCCTGTTCCTCTGCATTCGATGAGCTGGCCCAGGGTGAGGGGCAGGGCCTGGCCACTGTAAGAAGCATTGCACAGCCAGGCTTACTCTACTGGGCTCTGATGGGAAATCAAAGCCCTGCTGGTCCTACTAGGGTCAACAGGTTAGGCGTGGAGAGAAGGAAGCAGAAAGGTCTTTTCCCCAACCTGACCTGGCACTCTGGACAGAAGCAGGGAAGGAGGAACAGAGAGTGGGGAGGATGGTGCTGACTGACCCCAAGCTCCAAGGCCCAGCAGAGCTACAGCAAGACCATGCCACCAGGAAGCTCACAAGGCAGAGGGACTGTCCTCAAAATAATCCTGAACTCCGGAAGGGCGCACCCTCCCCGGCCTCCCAGACCTGCTCTCCTCCAGCCCACCTGAGACTCCCTGTCCAGCCTTCCACGCATCCTGGCCTCTAACAGGAAGTCAGGAGGGTCAGCCCCACCCCCTAGCCAGGTGTGAGCTCCTGGGTGGGGACACAGGTGGCTTTTCACATTCCTGTCCATCCCACAGTCAGTGCCCAGTTTTCCTTAGGACCCCAGATAGCCACAGATAGCGTGCTGGGCCCAGGCTCTGATCTGAGGTTTCCCGCCCAGAGGCTACCACTGGGTCTCCCCAGGTGGGACGCGTACTTATTGCCAATGTCTTGGACCCTCTGCTCAGGCCTCCGCTTCAGCTGGTACTGCTGGTTCTGCAGGTAGTTCTCTTTCAGGTAGATCTCCCAGGACAGGAGAGCGGCCTCCTCGTTCTTCTCCAGCTTGTTTTCTGTCAGGTAGACCAGACAGAGGACACATGAACTCCACGTGAGGAGGACAGGTGAGGCTCTGACCTGAAGGGCCCTGGGGGGGAGGACAGGTGAGGTTCTGACCTGAAGGACCTGAGCGAGGGGGTGGGGGGACAGGTGAGGCTCTGACCTGAAGGACCTGAGCGAGGGGGTGGGGGGACAGGTGAGGCTCTACCCTGAAGGACCTAAAGGAGGGAGAGGGACAGGTGAGGGCTGACCCACGGGACCCTGGAGAGGGGGAGAAGAGGACAGGTGAGGCTCTGCCCCACGGGACCTGAGTGGGTGGCAAGGGGTGCACCGGTCATAGGGCTGGTTTCTGAGCAGCAGGAGAAGCTTGCCCACCACCCACTCCAGAGGGCCGCTGAGCACAGACTGGCGCCCGCTAAAGGGTGGGGGGAGACAGGCATGGAGAGAGGGCCCGCGTGGTCTGCATAGCTTTGGAGCATCCAAGATCCTATAAGCGGCACAGTGCCCACCCCAACCACATCTGTGCTCAAAGGTGACCAGGGGCAGCACTAGTGGTGCGGCGGGAGACCCGGCTCACTGAGCTGCTTGTGCCTCTTGGGCGGGATCTTGAGGATGACCCGTCTGACCAGGAGCTGCAGGTGGTTGAGAAGGATGAGGGGTGGTGGGGCTGGGGGCCGGCCATGGTACTCCTCGATCAGGTCATGGCGCTGGAACTTCCAGATCTGGTCTGTGTGCTCCTGCACCTGCTGGAAAGTATAGCTGGCGGGGGCAGAGGGGACTCCAGTTACCCAAGAACAAGGGGCACCGTGAGTGCTCATCCTTATAACCCACACCCGCTCCACGGCCCTGGTATCTGTGATGTTGCACAATAATTTAAGGAAAAAAAAAAATACTACACAGGACAGTATTACCAAGGCAGAAAAGACCGTTCAGCAGGGAAGCTTAATATTTGTGAGCTTCCTGGGAGCCACGGTGAGAAAAAAGGAGCAAATAGATTTTAGATTTTGTCAACCGTTTTAGGGACCAAAACAAAATGCATGTTTATCAGGAGAGAGACATTCTCCCGGCATTTAAAGTCTAAAATGAGTTTATCAGCTGAATCTGGCTTGAGGACAGACAGAACTGGAGGCGCCTTCGACAGGCTTCTTGCAGACACATCTGTCCACATGGTCCGTCCTCTTGCTAATAAACCTCGGCGGAGCCAAGTCCAGGGTGGAGGGAAGACCTCCAGAGGGGAGGTGGGCCTGGCAGGGCAGAAACACAGCTTCCCTTGCTCATTTCCATCCAGGGAGAGTCCCTGCCATCGACCTCCTTTTGGTCTCTCTGCCACAGTTCTTCCAGCTCATGTTCGGGGCCTCTCAACGTTCAGAAAACCAGCTGCCGTGCAGTCGGCTGCGACTCATGTCACCCTATGTGTGTCAAAGTAGAACTGCACTTCCTAGGGTTTTCCATAGCTGATTTCAATTGCCAGGCCTTTCTTCCAAGGCCCCTCTGGGTGGACTTGAACCTTCACGCTTTTGGTTAGCAGCCAAGACTGTTCATTGTTTACACCACCCAGGGACTCTGTGGCTTAAAACAACACTCTGGAAGGTGGGAGTCTCCAATGGGTCTCACTGGGCTCAACCAAAGTGTGGGAACAGCATCTCCAGCCTTTGCTTCTGTTGTTAATCTCCCTCTCTGACTCTGACCCCTCTGCCTCTCTCTTTGCCTTGTGATGACACTGGGCTCACCCGGATAATCCCCCATCTCAAGATCCCTAACTTAATCCCATCTGCAAAATTCCTGTTGCCACATAAGGTACCATATTCACAGGTTTCGGGGATTAGGATGTGGACATCTTTGGAGGTGATTATCCTGCTGACCCCAGATACCTATTAAGGAACAAGTCAAATTTGGCCTCTCAATGCCACTTACAAACAGCTGAGCAAATGGATCGGGAGGTGGATGGGTCACACCTGTAAAAACCCTGTGAGTGACAACAAAGCACAAACTCATATCGATGAAGAAATCTCTAACCGTGTGGGCAAACCAAACAGGGAGCCCTCTGCACAGGGGCCAGAACTACTGAGAAACAAGCCTGGGGAAGCCGTGCCTCAGAACAGGCTCAGAGGTGGACTGCAGGGGTAGCCCGAGTAGGTCCCAGGGGGTCCAAGGTCAGGTGGAGAGGGTGCAGGGGGGCAGGGCTATGGGCAGAACCCCCAGGGTCATGAGGGTGACAAGTGTATTCGGGAAGGTGGAGAAGGGTGACCCTGAGCAAGGTCCCCCAGGTAGAGCAGTGAGTGCATGAGTAAATAATGCTGTATCCTTACTAGGGACTCCATGCAGCCATAAAGAAGAATGAGACAGATCCCAGCAACCCTAATATGAGCTAGACAAGGCTTCTCATGGATTACATTCATTGAATCATCAAAGTATCCCTGTGGATAGGCACTATTGTTAGCCCTATTATTAAAACGAGGAAACTGAAGCACAGAGAGGTTAAGTAACTTGTCTAAGGGCACACAACTGGTAAGAGCAGAGCAGAGACAAACCCTGGCCATCTGGCCCCAAAACCCAACCTCTTAAAGGCTGTACTCCACGGCCTTTGCAACACTCGTGGCAAAATAAATTATCAAGTAGAAAGAGCAAGTGACAGAGAAAACCAGGTGTGGCCAACTGATTGCAAAACGGTCCCAGTATTCATACCTCTCGGGATCTCTCGGGAAGAGTCCTTGGGTGATACAAATGGATAAGCACTCAGCTACTAACCAAAAAGTTGGGGGTTTGAGTCTACCCAGAGGCACCTTGGACGAAAGGCCTGGCGATCTACTTCCAAAAAATCAGTCCTTGAAAACCCTGTGAAGCATAGTTCTACTTTGACATGCATGGGGTCCCATGAGTCGGAGTACACTCAGCGGTGACTGGTATCCTGTGGTAGTGCTCTCTCACACTGACTCCGCGTGGCCAAATGCTGCATTTTGGCAGACGGGATGCTAGCCTACTTGATCCAAGTAGAGAGTTGAAAAAGCAGTTGTATGCCTCTGCTTCTGGTCTCTCTTAGAGCACTGCTGTCACAGGGAGAACAAGCCTGGGCTAGCCTGCTGGAGGATGAGACCTTGTGGAGGAGAGGTGAGTTGTCCTAGCTGGGGCCATCCTAGACCAGACAGCCCCTGGCCCACCCACCATGCCTGCAGATGCAAGTGGGAGCCCAACAACCAACATCAGCCAAGCCCAGCCAATATCAGCCAAGCCCAGCCAACATCAGCTGAGCCCAACATCAGCTTAGCCAACATCAGCCGAGCCCAGCCAACATCAGCTGACCCCGGCCAACATCAGCCGAGCCCAGGCCAGATCAGCAGAACATCCCACTGACCCACACACCTACGCGAAATAAGGCGTGGTTGCTGCTTCATGTCCCACAGGTTGGGGATAGTTTGTTACACAGCAATAGCTATGTAAATATGCACCTAATCGTATATGCCTCTAAATCCCTCAGAAAATGGTTGCCAGGACCCTGACGGTGGGGTCAGGAGCCCTGCTGAGCCCCATGCTGCTGTAGCATTGAGTTCTTTACATCTGGAATGCAGGTAGGTCTTACTTGCAGAGAAAGAGAAGCATTTTTAGTAAACACTGGCAGGGCTCTCCTGAACATCTAGAATGAACTAAAGTGGCCAGGTCACTTTGCCACATTCAGCCTCATCCTCCGCATCTGCAAAATGCAGGGACTGCACTACAAATCTTTCACATGCGAGATCTTATTTAGTTTTCACAAAACCCAACCAAACCCACTGGCATCAAGTCGATTCCAACTCATAGCGACCCTATAGGACAGAGTAGAACCGCCCCACAGGGTTTCCAAGAATGTAAATCTTTACAGAAGCAGACTATCACATCTTTCTCCTGCAGAGCATCTGGCGGATTTGAACTGCTGAACTTTCGGCTCGCAGCTGAGCACTTAACCACTGTGCCACCAAGGTTCCTAGTCTTCACAACAACCTGTGAAATAGTATTTTCTCCATTTCACGGAGAACAGAGCAGAGGCTAAGAGAAGTTAGATGTATTTCCCCAGACATCGAGTCCAATCCAAGCTGCTCTGTGTGGTGGCTGTGCCCCCGTTAGGGAGTCCTGCCCCTCCAGGGTGAGCTGCGCCCTCTCCCTGTGAGGTGCCCATTACTCCACAGGCCAGGCGTCTGGCAATTGTGAAACACAAACCCCCTTCTGCAGCCCCACGGGTTCCCAGGAAGGAGAGGGAAGGACAAGATTTCAACGCTGCCCCACGGCAGCACACAGAGTTAAACAGGACACGTCCCTTCAGTAAGAATCCCTGGTAACAGACCAGGCTCACTGGCTCAGTGGCCCTGCACGTTCCGACCTGGGTGTCAGGGAGGTGCCCCCAGTTGGTTCCCGGGCTCAGGGGCCAACTGTCTGCAGCACACAGGGAGACTGTGGGAATACAGCCCCTGGGAAAGCCTGTCCCATCCCACTCACCTGCACCAGCCCACCCTGTGTGGGACAGGAGGACTCACTTGAACATGGCGATAAGGAGGTTGAGCAGAAGGATGTTGGTGAAGAGCAGATACAGACAGAGCAGGATGACCGTCAGCCACTCAGGGAAGGCAGGCTCATGCAGGGTCGTATCACTCTCTGGGCACTTGGGCTTGTAGGGGTCTGTGCCGTTGGGGCTGCAGTGCTCAGGGTCGAAGTTCACTCCTGGAGTTAGAAGGGGGATGGATAAATAAAACAACAGAGTCACACATGGCCCATTGTCAATGTCTCCGGACTCTTGGAGTGTCCTAGCTGAACGGGGTCCCTAAGGCCATCCAGTCCTCTACTGAGGATGTCCACAGGCCTGGATACCTGAGCACCTCGGTGACCTCAGCTGTCAGTTTAGGGCTCAGAGAAAGTCTAAAAAGAGGCCTCTCTCTACTCCCAAGCATTCTCTGCAGGCAAGAAGGTGGCTACTAGGGAAGCCTCAGGAGCCAGATGGTACTCTGGGTTGGCACATCCTCTGCCCAAGAGCCACCCATCCCTCTACTAGGGCTTTTCCTGGACCCCAGCCAGGGGCACTACAAGGCTGAGGCTGGGGCTGTGACCATCAGTAAGATATAGGTGCCAACACTGGGGAGTTTAATTCAGAGAGAAAGATTTTTAAAGGAAAAAAAGAACAACAACAGCAAAGAGAAGGGGGATGTGAAAAAAGAAAAATGCTGCAAAAGCAATATACTGATAAGTGGAATTGGTGATGACAAAAATATAGTCCCATTTTTGTAAAAAGTAAAGGATATATAATATAGAATAATAAATATAATCAGCTTATATTCTCTAAGGAAACATACTGAGTACAGGCATACTTCATTTCATTGCCCTTTGCTTTATTGCTCTTCACAGATACGGTGCTTTTTACAAATGGAAGGTTTGTGGCAACCCTGTGTCAAGCAAGTCTATCAGTGCCATTTTTCCAACAGCATGTGCTCACTTGGTGTCTCTGTGTCACATTTTTGTAGTTCTCACAATATTTCAAACTTTTTCATTATGATTATATCTGTTATGGTGATCTATGATCAGTGATCTTTTATGTTATTATTGTAATTGTTTTGGGGCACCACAATCCATACCCATATAAGATGGACAACTTAATCAATGTTATGTGTGTTCTGACTGCTCCACCAACTGGCCATTCCCCATCTCTCTTCTTCTCCTCAGGCCTCCCTATTCCCTGAGACATGACAAGATTGAAATTAGGCCAGTTAATGACCCTACAATGGCCTCTAAGTGTTCAAGAGAAAGGAAGAGTCTCACATCTCTCACTTTAAATCAAAAGCTAGAAATGATTAAGCTTAGTGAGGAAGGCCAAAAGCTAGGCCTCTTGTGCCAGTCAGCTAAGTTGTGAATGCCAAGGAAAAGTTCTCGAAGGAAATTAAAAATGCTACTCCAGTGAATACATGAATGATAAGAAAGCGATACAGCCTTATTGCTGATATGGAGAAAGTTTTAGTGGTCTGGATAGAAGATCAAACAAGCCACAACATTCCCTTAAGCCAAAGCCTAATCCAGAGCAAGGCCCCAACTCTCTTCAATTCTATCAAGGCTGAGAGAGGTGAGGAAGCTGCAGAAGAAAAGTTTGAAGCCAGCAGAGGTTGGTTCATGAGGTTTAAGGAAAGAAGCTGTATCCATATCATAAAAGTGCAAGGTGAGGCAGCAAGTGCTGATGGAGAAGCTGCAGCAAGTAATCCAGAAGATCTAGGTACAATAATTGACGAAGGTAACTACACTAAACAACAGATTTTCAATGTAGACATAACAGCCTTATATTGGAAGAAGATGCCATCTAGGACTTCCATAGCTAGAAAGGAGAAGTTAATGCCTGGCTTCAAAACTTCAAAAGATAGGCTGACTAATAGGGGTTAATGCAGCTGGTGACTTTAAGTTGAAGCCAATGCTCATTTACCATTCTGAAAATCTAGGGCCCTTAAGAATTATGCTAAATCTATTCTGCCTGTGCTCTATAAATGGAACAACAAAGCCTGGATGACAGCACATCTGTTTACAACCTGGTTTACTAAATATTTTAAGCCCACTGTTGAGATCTACTGCTCAGAAAAAAAAGATTTGTTTCAAAATATTACTGCTCATTGACAATGCACTTGGGCACCCAAGAGTTCTCATGGAGATGTACAAGGAGATTAATGTTGTTTTCATGCCTGTTAACACAACATCCACTCTGCAGCCAATGGATCAAGGAGTAATTTCAACTTTCAAGTCTTATTATTTAAGAAATACATTTTGTAAGGCTACAGTTGCCATAGAGAGTGATTCCTCTGATAGATCTGGGCAAAGTAAATTGAAAAACTTCTGGAAAGGATTCACCATTCTAGATGCCATTAAGAATATTTGTGATTCATGGGAGGAGGTCAAAATATTAACATTAACAGGAGTTTGGAAGAAGTTGATTCCAATCCTCATGGAGGACTTTGAGGGGTTCAAGACTTCAGTGGAGGAAGTAACTGCACATGTGGCAGAAATAGCAAGAGAACTAGAATTAGAAGTGGAGCCTGAAGATGTGACTGAATTGTTGCAACCTCATGATAAAGCTTTCATGGATGAGGAGTTGCTTCTTATGGATGAGCAAAGAAAGTGGTTTCTTGAAATAGAATCAACTTCTGGTGAAGAGGCTGTGAACATTGTTGAAATGACAGCAAAGGATTTGGAATATTAACTAAACTTAGTTGATAAAGCAGCAGCAGGGTTTGAGAGGATCAAACAACATCACATACTACAGAGAAATATTTCATGAAAGGAAGAGTCAATCTATGTGGCCAACTTCATTGTTTTCTTATTTTAAGAAATTGCCGCAACCACCACCTTGATTACTCAGCAGCCATCAACATTGAGGCAAGACCCTCCACCAGCAAAAATGTTACAGCACTGTGATGGTTAAGATTGTGTGTCAACTTGGCTAGGCCATGATTCTCAGTGTTTTGGCAGTTGTATAATGTTGTGATCACTTTCCTGTTAAAATCTGATACGTGATCACCCCCATGATGGAATCTGCTGAGTGGTACTGGTTGGGGCAGGGCCTGTGACAGCTCACCACCCCCTCAGCCTTCATCTCCCCACCCTCCTCTGCCTACTTCTTCCTGCTCCCCTCGCCAGAGTTTTTGTTTGTTCCAGATCCTGCAGGTGGCTCCCGTTCATCTGCCCTTCTGTTCTTGGGACTTGGGCTAGCGGCTTGCTGGTGATCTTGCCTGCCGATCATCAATCTTCACAGCCTGTGGCAGCACTGCTCTCCAGCCTGCTGATCTTGGGTTTGCCAGCCCCTGCGTCTAGGTGAATCAGGAGAATTTTCTTTCCTGCTACTTGGACTTGGGACTTACAGCCTCTAAAAACCGTGTGAGCCATTTCCTTGATATAAATCTCTCTTTATATATATATGTGTGTGTGTGCATGTGTGTACATACATATATATACTCTTTATTGGTTTTGCTTCTCTAGAGAACCCAGCCTAAGACAGACTCGCTGAAGGCTCAGATAATGGTTAGCAAGTTTTACCAATAAAGTATTTTTTTAATTAAGATATGCACATTTTTTAGACATAATAGACTAAACTCAAAGCAAGAATAAGGAAGGAAATAAATAAAGATTAGAGTGGAAATAAATGAACCAGAAAATACAAATACAATAGAGAAAATCAAACAAAAGTTAGTTCTTCGAAAACATCAAAAAAATTGACAAACTTTTAACTAGACTGACAAAGAAAAAAAGAGAAGACTCAGATTACTAAAATCAATAATAATGACAATGGAAACATCACTACAGATCTTACAGAAATAAAAAGATTATGAGGGGATACTATGAACGACAATATGCCAACAAGTTAGATAAGTTCAATGAAACAGTCAAATTCCTAGAAAGACACAAATTACCAAAACTGACTTAAGAAGAAATAGAACATCTGAATAGACATAAGAAAAGGTTGAATGAGTAATTTTAAAACTTCCCAGAAAGAAAAACTCATGCCCAAACAGATTCACTGCTGAATTCTACCAAATAGTTAAAGAAGAATTAATACCAACACTTCACAAACTCTTCCAAAATACAGGAGAGGAGGAATGTTTCCCAACTCATTCTCTGAAGCCATTATTACCCCGATACCAAAACTAGACAAAGACATCACAAGAAAACTACAGACCAATATCCTTTTGGGATATAGGTGCAAAAATCCTTAACAAAATCCTAGCAAACCAAACCCAGTGACATATTAAAAGATTATATACCATGACCTAGTGGAATTTATCCCAGGAATGCAAAATTGATTAAACATATTAAAATCAGTTAATATAATACACTATAGTAGGGGAAAAAGGTGACAAGAACCACATAATCATTTCAATAGATGCAGAAAAAGAATTTGAAAAAGTCTAACACTCTTTCATGATAAAACAACTCAACAAACTAGGAATAGAAGGGAACTTCCTCAACCTGATAAGGGGCATGTACAAGAACACCTACAACAAACTTCATATTAAATGGTGAAAGATGAAAGCTTTTCCCCTAATATTGAAAATAAGACACAGATGACCATTATCCCCACTTCTATTCAATATTATATTGGAGGTCACAGTCAAGTCAATTAAACAAGAAAAAGCAATAAAAAGTATACAGATCAGAAAAGAATAAGTAAAACTGTTTTTGCAAATGACATGGTCTTGTGTATAGAAAATCCCAAGGAATCAACTAAAAAACTATTATAACTAAGGAATGAGTTCAGCAAGACTTCAGAGTACACGATCAATATAAAAAAACTTAATTGTATTTCTATGCGTTAGCAATAAACAATCTGAAAATGAAAGTAAGAAAACAATTTAATTTGCAATAGCATCAAAAAGAATAAAACATCTAGGAATACATTTAACAAAAGAAGTGCAAATCTTATATGCTAAAAACTACAAAACATTATTGAAAGAAATTAAAGAAGATATAAATGAAAAGATATCCCATGTTCATTAATTGGAAGACTTAATATTGTTAAAGAAGGAATACTACCCAAATTGACCTACAGATTCAGTGCAGCCCCTATCAAAATCCCAGCTGGCTTTTTTGCAGAAATTGACAAGCTGATCTTAAAATTCACATGGAATTGCAAGGGACCCAGAATAGCCAAAATGATCTCGAAAAAAAAGAACAAAATTAGAGGACTCACACTTCCTGAC